ATTATATTTATGTTTGCAGGGTGTTGTGTATGGTTTTTCAGCCAAGCTCGGGTCAACTCGAGAATATAGCTTGATCTAGAATGAATTCGACAACTACAATTGATCGACCTAACATAAGTTCGTCCAGCTATAACTCGGTCCAGCATAAGCTAGTCGTACACGATTCGAGGAATCATTCAATTAATCCCCAGATTACTTCAAATCTCAAATATTGCGGGAATGACTAGATCAACGGTGATCACTGCGCAATCACATCACCCAATCGCGAGAATATTGAAATTATGATTCAAATCAGTTCTAATCCCTCAAATTTCATTGCTTCCTTTGTACAAATCTTGTATATAAACCTCCCTCAGACAATAAAGATGGGGTCACGAATTTCAGATAATAATTGCATTGTAAGCTCTCACAGCAAATACAAAAACACAGTGGGCGTAAGCTGTTAACCTGACCGAACCACTTTAAAAATCTTTTTGTCTTTAGTTCATTTTATTCATATTCATTGTTGATTATCACTAATCACACACACATCAGTTCTGATCCCGATAAGATCAATTGGATCTCGTTGGTTAGTGTAAAATTCTGTACCAACACATGGCGTAGTCTTTTTCCTATCATTAATAGTTTTGAAAATAAATATTCGTGGATTACATTTTCTTAGTATTCATTACATTTATTTTTTCAATTCTTTTTTCGCGGATTCGACACTTTTGTTTATGTAAATGAGTTATGTCAAATCACGATTTTTATAATCAGGGGTGTCTGAGCCAATTTACACATACCTTAACTAATCCACCGAAAGTTTGGAACTACAAATCAAGTAAGAGTTTCAGTGGCCATTAATATTAGCAACCAAGGAGGGACTTGAACTTATAACCTCTTAAGTAATACAAATAAGAGTCCCAATCGAACAACTCAACCACCTAGGGGTTGGTTACCTTGTAATTTCATATGTTATTAATATGTATGTGTAAAATATTAATCAAATTAATTATATATCATAATCAAGTCAACTACAATAGTCTATCAATAATGTGAATTTCGTTGAATTTATATTGGTAAAAAACATAGGGATTTAGATATATTAGTTGTGAATTTCATTTAAGAAAAAATCTTTTTATATTTCATTACAATTTTTTTTGAATAAAATTTTAAATAAATTATTAGTGTTAATTTTTAACAGGATCTAATTTCTTAAATTGGTATATTCCAAGATGAGAGAAAATTATAATTATTTCATAATTTTATTTATTTGTTTTATTAAGCATCCCAATTAAATGAACAAAAATGAAATACAGTAGAACCTCTCTATAGTGATACTCTATATAGGAACAACCTCTATATAGTCATAAAATTTTTTGGTATCAACTCAAACCAGTTATAAATGAGAATAAATATCATATTGTAATAAGTCATAATTTTTCTAGATCCCGTCTTAAGAAACTTGTCTCTATATAAAAATAATTATATTTATATTGTAAAAAAAATATATATTATGTTACATTAAAGGTTTAAGATAAAATAAAATATTTATCTAAAATTATTTGGGACAATGATTTATACTTTAGAATTGTTACCACATTTTTTATCTTACGGATACGTAATAAGTCATTATCATGGGTGTCTTCTTATTGAAGCCAAAATATTTCTAGCTCTCAAGCATGTTTAGAACTTCTTAGCACGAAACTTCTTATATTTTCATACTATTATCCTCAAAATTATCTCCTTTCTCTTCTTGTCTAATTCTAGTAACGATTTTTTCTTCAGTTAAAACATACATGATTTATTGCTCATTTGGATGATTAAGGAAGACATTAATATCCATTTGATTAGTGTAGTGAAGTTATCGAATCTGATCACCCAATTTTTCAATGACTCTTTGATATCAATTTCCGTACTATCCTAATGTTACTAAAACAATGAATTATAAAATAAGAAATGAATACAATAAGTTTTAAATCAAAACAATAATTCTTGTAACTATATCTCTATTAAGTTATAATCTCCTTATAATAATAAATTTAGCTGATCCCAACATTATGACTACAACGAGACTCAACTGTTATTACATGAGAATAATAGAAGAATATAGAAGTTTATTTTATTTGCTTCAAGTTAAATGTTTTTTTTTCATAAATGTTATAAGTATTTTACAAACAAGAAAAAAAATTTAAATGGCACTACAAAATATGACATAAACCTTGGAAAAAGATCCATCAATTAAAAAAATTAAATTAATGAAATTATTAAAAAAAGAAACAAAAAAAGGAAAAAAAAAAAGAAAGCAAAATTCCTACTGGGTCTGTTATGTTACTGGGCTAGTTTGAACCGTCGGATGAATGGTTCACTGACACTTGAATTTGGCCCAGTAGCGGCCCATGACATCACAGCCGAGTTTGAGTTAGGTTTCTGTCTTTCTCTGAACTTGAGCTTTAACGAAACTAAACAAAAACCCTTGTAAAGCCCCAGCTTTCACTGCATTAAACGTTCCAAAACCCTTAAACAAGAGACCCTTTTGAACCCATGCCAAAATGCTCTCTTTATCACTCGAAACCCTCCTTTTCAACTCCGTCATCAGGAGCTTCTCCTCAATCAAAAACCCAAGTAAGTCTTTTCATTGTTTCTTTTCTGTTCTTAGTTCAATTCCATCAAACAAATGTGTGGACTCTGAACCTGAAAATAGATATGAGTCTGAGAAACCAATATTTGATCATATCGTTAAGTGTGGTCCAAAACTGGGTTCTTATAAGCAAGGTGATTGAACCTTTTATTCACTCATTGAAAACTATGCGAATTCTGGGGATCTTAGGGCTTTAGAGAGGGTTTTGTATCAAATGAGATGCGAAAAGAGAGCGGTTTGGGAGAAGAGTTTTATTCTGATATTAAGGCTTATGGTAAAGCACATTTGGTGGATGAAGTTGTTGATTTGTTTTATAGAATGGTTGATGAATTTCAGTGTAAAAGAACTGTTAGGTCGTTTAATTCAGTTCTTAATGTGATGGTACTAGAGGGCTTTTATTCTCACGCTTTAGAGTTTTATAATTGTGTTGTTAATGATAAAAGCATTAATTTTTCGCCTAATGTAGTGAGTTTTAATTTGGTTATCAAGAATATGCGTAAATTGGGATTGGTTGATAAAGCAATTGAGTTGTTTAGAGATATGCCGGTTAAGAAATGTGTACCAGATGTGTATACTTATTGTACATTGATGGATGGGTTGTGCAAGGAAAACAGAACTGAAGAGGCTGTTTTGCTATTGGATGAGATGCATATTGAGGGTTGCTTCCCTAGTCCTGTTACGTTCAATGTTTTGATTAATGGGCTGTGCAAGAAGGGTGACTTGGCACTTGCAACCAAAATTGTGAATAACATGCTTCAAAGGATGTGCCCCCAATGAGGTGACTTATAATACGCTTATTCATGGTTTATGTCTTAAGGGGAAGATGGATAAGGCAATTAGTCTTTTGGATCGGATGGTGTCAAATGAATGTGTGCCTAACGAAATTACATATGGGACAATAATTCATGGGTTAGTGAAGCAAGGGAGAGCCATTGATGGTGTTCATATGTTGGTTTCTATGGAGGAAAGATAGTTTCACCTGAATGAGTATATTTATTCGAGTCTTATTAGTGGATTGTTTAAGGAGGGGAAGTCTGAGGATGCAATGAACCTGTGGAAGGAAATGATCGAAAAAGGCTGTAAGCCTAATAGTGTTGTTTACAGTGCTCTTATAGATGGATTATGCCGAGTGGGCAAACCAGATGAAGCTGAGGAATTTCTCTTTGAAATGACGAATAAGGGTTGCTTTCCGAATGCTTTTACTTATAGCTCCTTGATGAAAGGTTTCTTTGAGAGTGGTAAAAGTGCTAAGGCTATTCAAATTTGGAAAGAGATGGCAAAGAATAACGTTATATGCGATGCGGTTTGTTATACTGTGCTTATTAATGGACTTTGTAGGGACGGGAAACTCAGTGAAGTTAACATGGTGTGGACACAAATGCTTTTCAGAGGCTGTAAACCTAATGACGTGGCTTAGAGTTCAATGATTCATGGCCTATGCAATGCTGGCTCATTGGAAGAAGCTTTGAAACTTTTCAATGTGATGATTTGCCAGGTGCCGGAATCTCAACCTGATGTTGTCCCTTATAACATCCTATTTAATGCTCTGTGCAAGAAAAATAACATCTCTGGTGCCATTGATCTTTTAAATAGTATGGTGGACCGGGGCTGTGACCCTGACGTATATACATGTGACATCTTCTTGACAGCTTTGAAAGAGTTAGATACACCTGAGGATAGGAGAGAGCTTTTAGATGAGCTTGTAGTCCGGCGCTTTAAGAGAAAAAGAAATTTAGGTGCTTACAAGATTGTAGAAGTGATGCTGCAAAAATTTTTGTCTCCAAAAGCCTCCACTTGGGAAAAAATTGTTCAAGACTTTTGCAAGCCTAAAATTCTTCATGCAGCTCTTGACAAATGTTGGAGAAGCTTGTATAGCTGATTCGTTAGGTAAGGCTGTCGTGTGCTGTTTTCTTTCAAATGTTGGGTTATAACTTTGTCCTTAATTAAGCTTTCATTCTTTTTTGGCTCAAACTGCTAAAACTGAAATTACTTTATGACAGAAAAATAACCCTTCTGAGTGTAAACTCATAATGCTATCGATTGTTGTCATTGTTAGGGGTGGGTGGGTCTGGGTACGAAGGAGAAAATATTAAACCAGCATTACAAATATACAGATCCCAAATCTTATAACGGCATCCTGTCCGAAAGATCCCGTAAGAAAGATATTGTTGCAATTGACAACAATGGAAGCCATGGAACTAGTGGAACTCCCCATACTTCTGGTGTTCTCTGCTGAGGTAGAAACAGTTGTATTGCCGAAGTTGCCAGGAACCAAAGAGGAAGTCTGATGACATATCCAACCCAACCATCAGGCTTTGATCCCCAGTAAGCTGAGGTCCCGATTGAGGAAGCAATAATAATCAGCAGAAAGATAACAAGCTTCAAGAGGTACAGTTGTGTGATTTCTCACGTATAGTATCTCCTCATGAGAAGTGCAATAGCCATCATCATGAAGATAAAGAGTTTGCTTACAGATAACAAGGATGAGAGGATACCCAAGCTTGAAAAGAACGCAAGGACAGCAGCTAAAATGGCAATAAGAAGTGTGGCATTTATTGGTGTTCCAGTCTTTGGATGAACAAGTGCAAACCATGGTGGGATCATGTGGGCTCGTGCAATGTGAGTAGTATACCGTGCCTGACCGAGTGCCCCTACCAGAAGAACAGTTGTCATCCCCTTAAGGGCACCAAGAGCGACCAGGTATTTTGCCCATTTCATCCCCACACTCTGAAATGCAATTGGATAAGCTGCATCTGGATCTATGTCTGTGTATTTCTGCATCATGGTTAGTGAAAGTGCCATTAAGCAATATATCACTGTGATGATTGACATTGATCCAAGCAGTCCAATTGGTATATCTCTTGATGGGTTTTTTGTTTCTTCTGCCATGGTGGCAATATTGTCAAATCCTCCATAAGCAAAGTAAACAATTGCAGCTTCCCTGAAGACACCCCCAGCCCCAAAAGGGAGAAAGGGTGTCATATTATAAGTGTCGGCATGAGCAAACCCTGCAATAATCACAAATAAATTACTATGGTATCAACTGCAGATGCTATCCAATTTAATTGTGAAGTTTTCCTTGCACTAATCATTGCAATTGTGACACAACGAGTTAGCGTAACAACAAAGCTAATACTCGATTATACTTTTAGAACCGATAAACAAGTCTCAATCACAGAAATTTGAACCTTAAATCTGAAAGAAAATCTGAATAATTCATTCCATATTTTATCTCTTCAAAAGAAACGAACAATATGTTTATATAGGGTGGTTACAAGCAATCCTAACAAGGGACTAATTAAACAAAGAAATGAAATCATATTTAAACACGAAAACTAATTGAAACAAGAAATCCAACTGTTGAATAATTATAAAATAAGAAAGTAAAATTTAACTAAATTAAAATTTCTTAAATCTATTAAACTCCTAATTAAAATAGAAAACTACTTGAATTCCTAATATAAAAACCTAAATAAATAAGAAAACCAAATAAAGAAATGGAAACAAAAGTAAATCCTAATTTAAAACTATTTTCCCTACATCAGAGGCCCCCACATAAAAATAAACTCATCCTCGAGTTTCAATCTGGTGGGTGATACCCGAAGTAGAGTAATAAGTCCTAATTTGGAGTAAATAAATATCCTTTGTCATTGATCTACCTAGGAGAGTAGTCATGCACTATAGTCTTCAAGTTGAAATCGAATGTCGTCGGTGTTTCATCCTTTTGATCCTTAACTTGAAAGTGTTCTTCTTGCTCAAGCTTCTCCTTTAGGACAACTTGCTTTTGCTCAAGCTTCTCCTTTAGGATAGTTTGCTTTTGCTCTTGTTCAATCTTCTCTTCTGAGAACTCATTCAGCTTCAATGTCTACTTCATGCTCAATCTCCTTTGATGTGTGATCCACAATTTGTAACATCTCATGATCTTCGTTGGCTTTAAGAATTTCTTTAGGAAGTGCTTTATACTTCGTCTTTTTCCATAATGGGTGAGACATGTATTCTCTGAAGAAGAATTCTTTTTTTAATTCTTAATTGTGATTCTACATCAAAGGCTAATTGAAGAACATCAAGCAATTTATGGTCAAAACATCATATAAGTAATAAACAAAATAATGGTATATTTCTCATTAATTATTCTTCAAAGTCACATATAGAGATGGTCATATACATAAGTAAGGAGGCTTCGACTACGCTCAGAAAGAGAAAATCCAGTATTTCTTCTCCCACTTATTATCTCTAGCAGAAGAGACTCCAAAACTAAAAACATCTAACTTAACAGAAAATATTCCTATCATAGTATACTCTGGGGCCATGTATCCACTGTTTAAAATTCAATCGAAGCAAAAAAATAAAAATAAATAAATACTATAAAGTTAAGGACATGTATCAGTTTCATAAAATGTAATCTTTTCAAGTTATATGGTTATATAGAAAAGCATATTTTTTTCAAGAAATGCATGCTTAAAATGTTCCAACAACTCTATTGGTATTAGCTTCCTTGGCCATTCCGAAGTCTGATATCTTTGGATTCATCTCACAATCTAACAAAATATTACCAGTTTTGGGATCACGATGAATAATTTTGAGTCGAGAATCCTCATGCGAATACAAAAGACCCCATGCAATTCCATTAATGATGCTTACGCGTCTCTTCCAGTCCAAATGCATACCCTTTGTTTAATCTGACAATGAAGTCATGTAAATTAACTTTGAATTTGGCTAATTAGCTAACATTACCAGAGGTTGAGAAGCAAACCAAATAGGTGAAAATTAAGGCTCTTGTTGGGCATGTACTCATAGATGAGAAGTAATTCTATTTCCTCTAAGCAGCACCCCAAAAGTCTCACAAGATTTTTATGTTGTAATTTGGCAATTAAGTTAACTTCATTCTTGAACTCTTGTACCCCTTGCCTAGATGCTCTTGCAAGCCTTTTTACTGCAATTTCCTTACCATCTGCTATTACACCCTGAAAGCAAATCTTCATCATTACCATTAAACAAGAACATAAAGGGCCTATTTAATGAAAATAGGTCTAATTTCATTTCAAAAAGTTGCATTTGGCCAATATTTAATGAGTGTGGTTATGCTTTCCAAGTTCATATCCAAAGTTTTCATCCAATGACGTAAAATTAATTTAGAATTGAACATCATAAAGCACATAATTCATATGCTAATCACAAATCCATGTAACATTACTTGAGATGCAAAAATTGGGATACTAACTTGAGATATATATAACGTTTTTCATGGTATGTTTTAAGCAACCACTTAACTTTAACAGATTAAACTTTTCAGTAATACTATGTATATACAGGATCCAAACTTTTGATCCTAACTGATGATTGTTCATATGACAACAAGACTTTAGTAATAGGAAAATAACACATTACTCTAAAAATCTATATAAGCCAACACGGGCCAACACCAACACTACATAGTTTACCTTGTACACAGGGCCGAATCCACCTTCACCGAGCTTATTTTCATCAGAGAAATGTCGTGTAGCATCGAGTATCTGGCCTAGAGGAAAAACAGAGTAAGTTTTGATTTTCCATCTGGTGCTTCTCTTGTAAAATATTTTCTCCAAAGCAAAGTAATTGAAGAGCTTGTCTATTTTCTTTCTCTTCTGCAAGGCAAACTAAATTCGATTACCAAAACAAAGAAAGATCTAGAGAGTTAATAGCTTTTGTTTTCAATTAGTAAATTAGAAATCCATTACCTTTATATCTTCTCTGCATACACTGCAATAAAAACCAAAACGAAAGCATGAATATCATAACTCCTGTTACTCCTGCTCCAAATCCTATCCATGTTGCTAGCCTTTCTTTCTCTCCTTAACAAAGCAAATATTTTTATTCAACAATCCTTGCCACAACATAGAACAAGACTCAACATAGATTTGTAACACACTAAATAGTACATCAGTGAATAATGCATTGACAGAAAATCATACAACACATATAAAAACTTCAGTAAATAGCATAAGTTTTCATAAATTGTTTACCTGTATCACTGTGGGAGATCCCATTTGGGATTCTTCCACAAAATTGTAATGGTATGGATATATACTGGAAAATAACGAGATGTACTAATAACAATAATCTAGGACTTGTAACATAGAAACATAAAATTCATAAGACATTGAATAGTAGTGAGTGGTGGAATTCATATATAACGAATAATGCTACTTTTACAAAGTTAAGATACAAAATTTGTATAGCATGGATACATCATTTATTATATCAACTTATTATTAATAATAGTGTTGATGTGCAGCATGCAGCATCAAAAGTAAAATTCATAACATAATATGATTTTTCATGATATTTTGACAGGAAAATCATATAGACATAACTCAGGTATGGTGGAAAGACAATCATTTTCCCACTGTTTCGAAAACTAATAAGGACCATTTGTTAATAAAACCGTTTAATTGCGTTCTTGTTATGATGAAAATACTCTACTCATTCATGAAATTACAAAACACACGCACATATATATATTTACAGTGACTTGAATTAGGATCAATATATCTGTAGAACCATTGAGCAAAAAAATTGTTTTGTTAACATAGCAACTCAGTGAAATGTATAAATCAAAACCACAATCCTAACTTTCCCAAATCAAACCCCTAACTCTAAATTCCATAACCGGAAATCAAACCAATCCAAACCACTGAATTGGCAATAGCGAACGATAGAGAAGGAGATGCTGGAGTGCCTTGGTGGCGAACCCTTCATCATGCAATTCATCTTTCAGCAATTCACCCATCTTTTACCATCAAACCCATCTTTCAAAATTCAACCATCTTTCCTAAAGAATGCCATCCTCCAGCAAATCACATCATCAGCAAACGCATCGATTACAGAAAATGGAAGCTTTTTACCGACTGTGGTTACGGTATGCACTTCTCCGAGAGAAATGGCGACAGAGATTTGTGGGTTTTAATTATTTTGGTGGAGAACGAACGGTGAAAGAGGCTTTGGGAAGTAGTGGGGGAGGGAATACTACCCACTAGAGGTGTTGAGAGAAAAAGCAGAGAATTTAGGAGGGCAGAGAAATACTTTGGTTGAGGTAGTAATGCTTGCGGCGGCAATAGAGGAAACTAGAGATGGTGAAAAGAGCTAGCCGATAGGTTTCAGGAGCATCTCTAGAACATTCATCACCTTAAGAAAAGTTATTTTGTGGCCTTCTAATAATATAAACATGTATTAAAAAATTATTTAAAATTTTTTTTTTTGCCTTTTGAGATGTAAAATCACTAGGAGAGGTAGACAGCGATCGACAGACTAACAGGGTTAGGTTGGTGGGGGGTTTTGGAGAGCAGATGTTGGAGAAGTGCTGGGTGGTAAAATGGGTGATTTCCAATACCAAGATTGACAAGAAAAGGCTAGAGAAGTCACGGCCCTAAAGGTATCAGTGGCCAGTGATTGGCAGAGTAAACGGACGAGGTATGATAGGGGTTTTGGTGAGAGGGCTAAGGAGAGGAAGATGGTGGTGTCGGGGAAGGCCAACAATGTCGGGTACATGCCGAAAAGGCTAGAAATGGTTGTCGCGCGCGGTGGAGTTGGGTTGCGAGAGTCATAAAAAATTGGCCAAATCGAGGGCTATCAAGGTTGGGAAAACAGTTGGGAAATGATAAGATGATGATTTTGGTCGATTTTGGTGAGAAATCGACCGAGATCAACTCCAAACCACTGGCGGTAGAAGAGGGTTGGAGATGATTTATGTAAATATCGAATTTTGGGATTGAATTAGAGGTGAGTAATTTGAGATATGTAAATGACTATTTTAGCCTTTCATTGTTAAAAGAGATTCAATGTGTTAATTTAGGGATGTAAATTGGAATATACGAAACTAGAGGTACAAACTTACTATTTTATCAAACTTTGGGTGGAAATATATGTAAAAAGTTTATAATAAATTTGGACTTTTTTGGCTTTTTTTTTAAGGCCCCTTGGCTTGGATAAGAAATTATAAACCATTTTCATTTTTGTAAGATATTCAAAAAAAAAAAAAAAAAAAATTTATAAAAAATTTGGGCCCCCATTTTTGGGGGGCTCTAGGCAGGTGCCTCACCTGCCTACCCCTTAAGCCGGCCCTGATAGGTTTGGACGGAGGAGAATATGAAGGGTGGGGGAGGATTTTGAGGGATGGGCTGTGGGTTTTGCGTGGGTTAAGGTGAAATGTGATGGTAAGAAGGGAGGTGGTGTTGTCGAGGGAATGATGGAGGTGGGGGCTGCTGGCTAAGGGAATGAGGTGGAGGAGTTGCTGGCTAGGAGGAAAAGGGTGGTGGGGGGTTGTTGTGCGGCTGGAGAAAAAAAGGTTTTTGGTGGGAGGGGGGGTGGGGGGGTCAGTTTGTTGAAAATCTGATCACGTAGTCCTAGTTAGTAAATACAGGTATGACAAAAAAGAAGGTACATGAATTTTACGGATATAATATGACAAACGGTAAAAAATTCGTTTATAAAAATTTGGCTATAAAATTCAGATATGGAAACAATATGGTACGGGTATATACGGGTTTAATACGGTGTATTGTTAATACTATGTTTTGAAAAATACGGCAATATCAATCTTAGTTTTAACACTTTTATGGATTACCTAGTTAAAATCAATAGATTTAGCTTTTCAAATGCAAAGTATTCAATTAACCAATAACACAAATATACAATATATAAATGATATTCAAATTATAGTCTCCAGACTCAAATATAATATTTAACTATGATTATTTAGTAATTTAAAACTTGATAAGTTTGATATTAAATGCAACCAAATTTTAACTTTCTATTAATCCATTAAATTATATTAAATCAAGAACTTTGTCTCACAAATCTATGTAAAAAATTAGTGTTACAATACAACCTGAAATATAAGATTAATCAATAAATAAAATAATTTCATAAAAGGATTTATTAATCTTTTTCTAGATAAAACGCCACCAATAACACTACAGACACCAAAAAAGTAGCACCGAATTTCTGTACCGGCCTACGTGTAACGCGCGTCTCCATTTTTTTACAACTTTTTCTAGTGAACGGCCATCCATCAAATTTGGATGGCCGTTCACTTACATGGATGCCCGTTCATATTATATGGACGGGTGTCCATATGCAAGGGACATACGTCCCCATTTAAAGGACGCCCGTCCCTGATTAAAATACAATTAAAAAATTTGTAAAACATTTGGGATTCCTGTCCATCAAATTTGGATGGCCGTTTACTCACATGGACGTCCGTCCATATTATATGGACGTACGTCCATATACAAGGGATGGGCGTCCCCATTTAAAGGACGCCTATCCCTGATTAAAATACAATTAAAATTTTTGTAAAACCTTAGGGACGACCGTCCATCCGTTATGGACGGCCGTCCACAAATAATGGACACCCGTCCTTCACCCAAATATGAAAAAAAAAAAAAAAATTCTTTGGGGACGCCCGTCCACAATTTGTGGATGGTCGTCCTTTTATTATGGACGGGCGTCCGTAAGTAATGGACGCCCGTCCAAGAGTAATTCGTAATAAAAAAAAAATTTTAATACTGGACGGCCGTCCCTAACTTGTGGACGGCCGTCCCTTCATTGTGGATGGGCGTCCATACTTAATGGATGCTTGTCCATTCATTGTGGACGGCCGTCCATTTGGACCGGTGTGGGGGGGGGGAGGGCGAGGGCGGGTTAGTTTGTTAAAATCTGATCACGTAGTCCTAGTTAGTAAACGGGTATGGAAAAAAAAAAAGGTACAGGAATTTTACGGGTATAATATGACAAACGGTAAAAAATACGTTTATAAAAATTGGCTATAAAATTCATATGGAAAAATATTGTACGGGTATATACGGTTTAATACGTGTATTGTTAATACTATGTTTTGAAAAATACGGCAATATCAATCTTAGTTTTAACACTTTTATGGATTGCCTAGTTAAAATCAATAGATTTAAGCTTTTCAAAGGCAAAGTATTCAATTAACCAATAACACAAATATACAATATATAAATGATATTCAAATTATAGTCTCCAGAATCAAATATAATATTTAACTATGATTCTTTAGTAATTTAAAACTTGATAAGTTTGATATTAAATGCAACCAAATTTAAACTTCCCATTAATCCATTAAATTATATTAAATCAAGAACTTTGTCTCACAAATCTATGTAAAAGATTAGTGTTACAATACAACCTCAAATATAAGATTAATCAATAAATAAAATAATTTCATAAAAGGATTTATTAATCTTTTTCTGGATAAAATGCCACCAATAACACTACGAACACCAAAAAAGTAGCACCGAATTTCTGTACCAGCCTACGTGTAACGCGCGTCTCCATTTTTTTACAATTTTTTTCTAGTGAACGGCCGTCCATCAAATTTGGATGACTGTTCACTCACATGGACGCCCGTCCCTGATTAAAATATAATTAAAAAATTTGTAAAACATTTGGGACAACCGTCCATCAAATTTGGACGGCCGTTCACTCACATGGACGCCCGTCCATATTATATGGACGGACGCCCATATACAAGGGACAGGCGTCCCCATTTAAATGACACCCGTCCCTGATTAAAATACAATTAAAAAATTTTGTAAAACCTTAGGGACGACCGTCCATCCGTTATGGATGGCCGTCCATTAATTTTGGATGGGCGTCCACAAATAATGGACACCCATCCTTCACCCAAATATGAAAAAAAAAAAAATTCTTTGGGGACGCCCGTCCACAAATTGTGGATGGCCGTCCCTTACTTTTGGACAGCCATCCGTATTTTTTGGATGCCCGTCCATGCATTTGACTTTTACAAATCTAAATAAAAACGATGGACGGCTATTGTGGACAGGCGTTCGTAAGTAATGGATGCCCGTCCAAGAGTAATTCGTAATAAAAAAAAAAAATTTAACACTGGACGGTCGTCCCTTCATTGTGGACGGGCGTCCATACTTAATGGATGCCTGTCCATTCATTGCGGACGGTTGTCCATACTTAATAGACGGGAGTCCATTACTTATGGACGCCCGTCCATAATGTTATTAAAATTTTAAAAAAAAATTTCGTGTTTTTTTAATAAATATTTTTTTGTTTACATTAGCTTCTCCAATACGCTTCTCCAACAACAAGCGCTAAAATTCTTCGAGCGAAAGAAAACCAGCGCCAAAATTCGTCGTCCCCTTTTGCTTCATCGTTGCCGTCTATTCTTCGCCTCAGTGTTGCGTCTGCATTTCTCAGCCATTTCTTCCTGCAACAAACGTTTTTTCCTCATTTTCCAGCTATCGTGTGAAGAACGAAAGCTATCATCTTTTCATCAAACCATAGCCATTTTTTACAGTGGAAAGAGAGATCCATTTTTTACAGGGAAAGGGAGATTAGAAAGATCTGTGCGATCCATTTTTTACAGGGAAAGGGAGATTAGAAAGATTTGTGCAGGTTAATAAACGATTTTTATATAATTTATGCATTTATTTAGTTTTTTACAGTGAAAATTTTTATATAACTTATCCATTTATTTAGTTTTGTATTATATTTTGGATTGAATATATGTTATAATAGAAAAAAAACTGATTGAGAAAATTTGTTGGTAATTGTTATGAATCAAATTTCGTGAACGTGAATAGTAGTATTGGATTTGCATTAACTTACAGAATATGGAAGAGTCCAGTTTGGCTCAGAATATGGAAGAGTCCAGTTTGCCTCAGAATATGGAAGAGTCCAGTTTGCCTCATTTCAATGATGTTGAGGTAAATTGTGCTCGAAACGTACTTTTTCGTTAAAATGATTATAAATTTATTGTATTGTATTGTTTATTTTGATGTGTTGTATTAGTACATTATAATTTTATGTATTATAAAACTATTAAATCAGGAAAACGAACGTGATGAATTAGAAGATATGGGATGTGTAGAGGAAGAAGTAGAGCCTCATATTGGAATGGTGTTTGATTCAGTTGATAGTCTGGTGAAGTATTACAAACGGTATGGTAACGAAATAGGATTTGAAGCAATGATACGTACGTCAAAGAAAGGCGAAGATGGGGAGATGAGATATGTGATAGTAGCATGTTCTTGTTCTGGAAAGGAGAGATGTAAATCCAGAAATACCTTGAAAAAACAACCTGTTGCCAAAACAGATTGAAAGAGTCAGATTAGTGCAGCTTTGAATGGTGAATGCAAATGGGAAATTAAATCAGTTGTACTTGAACATAACCATGATCTTACAAGTCCGACAAAAAGAAGATATTTCAAGGTTAACCGAACGATACAACCTTATGTGAAAAGGCGACTTGAAGTTAATGATGTGGCTGGGATTAGACCTTGTAAAAATTTTCAGTCATGTTCAATTGAGGCAGGAGGTGTAGAGAATTTGAAGTTTCTAGAAAAAGATTGTAGGAATTACATTGAAAAAGTGAGAAAGTTACAACTTTGAGTTAGAGATGCTTCCACAGTACTTGAGTATTTTAGGAAAATGCAAAAGGAGAATTCAAATTTCTGGTACATGATTGATGTAGATGAAGAAAGTCGATTACAGAATGTGTTATGGGTTGATGCTAGATGTAAGGCTGCATATAAAGAATTCGGTGATGTTATCACCTTCGACACAACGTATCTGATGAACAAGTATGACATGCCATTTGCTACTTTTATAGGGGTTGATCATCATGGACATTCGACATTGTTAGGTTGTGGGTTAATTTCTCATGAGGACACTGAGACATTTGTATGGCTATTTCGTTCTTGGCTTGAATGCATGGATGTCGCTCCTAATGGAATAATCACTGATCAAGATAAGGCCATGCAAAATGCAATTGAGATTGTTTTCCCTAGTACAAGACATAGGTGGTGTTTGTGGCATATAATGAAGAAACTGCCTGAAAAGTTAAGGGGGTATAAGGAATATGAAACTATCAAGTTTAGGTTGCAAAATGTTGTGTATGATTCCTTTACGCTTGAAGAGTTCGAAGAGCGGTGGAACCAATTTGTTGATGTGCACAACCTTCACGAGAATGCATGGTTATGTGGATTGTACAAAGAAAGAGTACGATGGTGCCTGCATTTCTTAAAGATACTTTCTGGGTAGGTATGTCTACTACCCAACGTAGTGAAAGTATGCATACATTTTTTGATGGGTATGTCAATTCAAAAACCACTTTGAAACAATTTGTGGAACAATATGATAATGCATTGCGAGCTAAAGTGGAAAAAGAAAGGGAGGCTGATTTTAGATCTTTTAAATCTTGGATACCATGCATAACTAATTACCCCATTGAGAAACAATTTCAAAGTGCATACACAACTGCAAAGTTTAAAGAGCTTCAAGATGAGATTGCCGGGAAGATTTATTGTGAGTTATCTTTTCTGAAAAAATGTGATTCATGCGAGGAGTTTCAAGTTTGGGAAGATGTTTGGTTTGGAGATAATAGTCGCCGTGTTCCTCATGTAGTATACTTTGATGAAAGTTCGTGTGATATTCGTTGTACTTGTCATTTGTTTGAGTTCAGGGGGATTTTATGCAGACATGCCATTATGGTGTTGATTCATAAAAGGGTTTCACACGTTCCGAAAAAGTACATTTTACGGCGTTGGAGGAAGAATGTCAACAGATGTCATACGAAAATTAAGGTCAGTTATAATAGGTGGAGCACCAACATTGAAGGACAACGTTTTGATAAGTTGTCTAATTTAATGCTGACAGTAGCGGATCTGGCATCAAACAATGAGGAAGATTATAATATGATGACGGAGTTTATGATTGACATGAGGAAACAGTTGGAGCAAAAGGAAAGTGAGGGAGGGGTTGGTACAACAGTGAACATCTCTTCTAGAACCGGTTTGACTAGTCAAGATGGGGACAGTCCTCCTAAAGAGGGGAATACCGTAATCATTAGTCCACAGGCAGCTCGTAGCAAAGGTCGTCCTCCATGTAGAAGAAAGCAGTCGAAGATTGAAGAAATTGTACGTAGGGTTAAAAAGAAAAAATTACAAAAACAAAGAATGGGTATGACTTATACATTATTTCAGTAATTTTTTTGAAACATTATTTACTTATTTGAAGTTTAGAATAATATCGACTTGATTATTAATGTGTTATGATACTTTTTAGGAAAAGGATCATCGGTACAGCGACAACAGGAACAGTTTCTTTCAAGTACTTCCGTGGCCGATGCGGAAACTCAAGTGTTGTCAAATGATGTTGTTACTACACAAGTATGTGTTATATATCTTGTATAACTGTAATTGCCTTAAGTTTTCTATACCGTGTGCTAAATTGTGGTTGTTAAACAATGACAGATGTCCACTGGTCCGGTTCCAAATCTCGCAGGACAAAGTAGTTTCTATACTGGACAGGAGTTTGTAAATGATGAACATGTCTCGTTGGGAGATGTTTGATATTTTTGCCAAGTTGAAGCATATAGAATTGTATTTGGTATAAATTTTTCATGCTTTGGTTAATTTCTACCGAATGCAGTTGAGTTGTATGCTTATACAGTTGTTATATTTTTTGTATTTTCATCATTGATTGTGTAGGATAGTGAATTCATGATAATGACGTTAATGTATATGGCATTTTGGATATGCATTTCTTTTCAGATTTGAATTTTTATGTCTTTGGGTATGTCTAGTATTACATATACATATACATTGAAAAGAGTTGTAGACATATGTATAAACAAAAGACAAATCTATTTATAAACAAAAGACACCTTTATTTATAAACAAATTACAATCTTTATTAACAACATTCGCTCAAATCAATCTATTTATAAACAAAAGGGAAAAAATCTTCATCATGGTGCAGGGGGTGGAGGTTGACTAGAGGATGAGGAGGCTGTTGAGAAGTTCTTCATCATGTTGAAAATCTCTGTCATGCGGTCTCCAATGATGTCAACTGTTTCTTCAATTCTTGATGCAAACGTGTTGAAATCACTTTGCAGTTCTTGTATTTGCCTCTCAGTACGTGAAAAACGCTCTTCTTGAAACTTTTCCATCTGCTCAAATCTGCTTTCTATTTCCTGTAAAGTATGAGAACCCATATCTTCTACATTCTCAGATGGTCCAGGTTCAGTACCTGTTCTTCTTCTTTTGCGCACATAGACTTGTCCTTCAGTAACCCCTTCTTGAATACTGACACCTTCTTGAACCGTTGCATCTCCCTCAATTTCATCCCTAATAAGATACCATTGTCCTGCCACATTCTTTTTAATCAAACCCATTCTATTCAATGTCACATCTCCCAACACATTAGTTGTAGAAAACGTAATCTTATTTTTTGCATCATCAGGGGTTATCTCAATATTCAACTTCTCACATATTAACGTAACCAGCATCCCCCAATATATTTCTCCTTTCTCTGCAGGGATCTCTCTCAACTTCTTAATCAACAACTTTGCTGAATTAACTTGCCTCCCTGCCACTGCTGCTTCCATGAACAATAAATCCTTAACCGTCACATTTCCATTTGTCTCTTTCCTACCATTAAATGTGAAAGTCAAGTATCTGTGAAATACTCTCATAGCAGGATTCTGTAACTTTGTAGATTTACACCTATGTGGATGGTAAGTCCCTATTCCGGAAACATCAATCCAAGCTTGTTTGGAATCCCAGTTTCTAGGTACGCTTTCCAAACCTTCACAATCAAATCCTATCCAGGTTGCTAAATCTTGGGGTGTCACTACAAAGTTTTGATTCTTTAATTTAAAGAACATTGTATACGCCTGAAACTCATCACTGTCTGTCTCTACAACTTCCAAACTACCAAAAAACTCATATATCAAATGCCTATATCCATCATATCTCATACTGACTAAACGGTCCCATTTCAAATGATTAATCCAACCATTGATTTCATCACCTAAACCTAAACTTGTTAGAAGTCCTAAATCCAAACTTCTTCCAAGGCAAATATCTCTTTTCAACACGTCCTCTTATTGTTTTTTATGTCGCCAGTCTCGAAATTGAAGTGCAGATGAGGATGTGCCTTCCTGAGGAATGGTTATATTTTTTGCCCTCGCCATTTTTTGCTTTCTTCTAAAACCTATATACATAAAAAAATCGTCATCATAATCTGCCAAATATGCCAAAGACACAGACCCAATTACTCTTAACATATACACTTTGAGATAAGAACTCAACTTATACAGTATAGAAAGGACATTTCCAAGAAGATTCTAAAGCACAAATGGCAAAAGGTCGAATTGTGAAAAAATGAGCAGCATGGAGGCATTATCCAGCAGGTGGAGACTAGTAATAGAGCAAAGTAAATATGGTATTTGTGGGCATATATATTCAGGATTAATAATTACAAAAAAAAAAAAAAAAAAATATGGTATTGATATCAAGCTAGTTACCGAGAGGAGCATTTACACCTTTTACCATTTATACACCATCACTTAATAAACATAAAGAACTGTAAAATAAAAGTTTAAGGGGTTTTTCTATCAAACCCCACATGTTTGCCAATTCTTTGTCAGCCTAACCACAATTTTGCCAATTTTTCCAGAGTTAGCTAAAGATAGGTGAACTTGACATTTTCAGGCCAATGCCTAATGAATTTATGAATGAGTATGAGAAGTGCATCTATCAGAGTCACACAAATATCGAATTCAATACCATGTGGACTGAACTTATAAACTCTCTCATTTTGATCACTCTTTTATTGAACTGAAAACACCCAAAATCCTTAATGAACCAAACAACACCACAGATTCATCCTCGATCAAAAACTTCTTAATCAAACATAAAGAGTTATTTTCATATAATAATTGATGTTCTACCACTAACAATTTATATGCAAAAAAAAATTGCTGCAAATAAAGCCTGGGAAAAAATAAAAAAATAAGGGAAAAAGAAAAAACCCAGTTGGACACATAGCAAGTATATTGTGACAAAGAAACGGTACAGCTGTAAACTACAGTTATAAGTGATGCATTCGTGCACAAGAACATTGATAATTAAAAGGAGTTGAATTGAGTTAAGAGATGATTGTAATAATATCACCCACACAATCATTCTTTGGCACAACTTTAACTGGACATAAAGGAAATTCCATCTCAATATATCTTACATCGGTGGACAAGAAACGTTGTGTATGGTATTGTCAGTGATGTAGAATCAAGGGTTAGCTTTCAAGAACTCAGGGCCATAATGTTGTGGAGTTTAAGAGAAACAACATGTAAATACATAGAATCTGGGACAGGATCTTTAGAAAAGTACAAACTTGCCTATGAGATAATGAGAGAAGGTCGGAACAAACTTTGTTGGCAAAGGTAAACACATCAGACCCGAGTTCAGTGAAATTTTTGTATTTTGCACTACCTGTTTGGCTTCTTTCTAGCTGAGTCTTAGTTATGTAACTAAAAATCATTAACTTGCTTTGGGTAAATAATTTTACAGTGTGTTTGGATCAAAACTCTAGCTATTTATGATCTGGATGGGCATCTCTTTGAATTATCTAGGCTGGGGATATTGTTATGCTGGATTAGATCATAATATTCAGGCCTAACACATTCATCCAATGGCGTGCAGTGTAAATACAGAGAATCAAATTCAGACATTCATCAAAATAAACTACATTTCTTTTTATCAATTACACAACACTTCTATTTATCAATCATACAAACCATTCCCACCAAATTGACTGGATTTCTCTTCATCAACTCAACTCCATTCAACACATTCATCCAACTAAAAAAAAAAAATTGAAAAAAAAAATTGAAAAACAAACTGTCTAATTACCGATGGCAGATGATGAAGACGAAGAACAAGAGCAGAATTGTGAATCCAGAAGATCAACAGCGCGAAGAAGAAGAACACCCTATAACATAGATGGAAGACGAAGAAGATGGTAATGGTTGTCTTTTACAAACTCCCCAAAATGTTTTAACCTAATGCGAAGTTTTTTTTTTTTTTAAATTTTAATAACATTATGGACGGGCATCCACAAGTAATGGACGCCCATCCATTAAGTATGGACGACCGTCCATAATGGTTGGACGGCGTCCTTTACATAAGGGACGGCCGTCCAACCCTTATGGACGACTGTCCATAATGAATGGAGGGGCGTCCATTCGTCCACAATGAAGGGACGACCGTCTAGTGTTAAATTTTTTTTTTATTTATTACGAATTACTCTTGGACGGGCGTCCATTACTTACGGACGCCCGTCCACAATAAAAGAACGGCCGTCCACAAAGCCATCCATCGTTTTTATTTAGATTTGTAAAAGCCAAATGCATGGACGGCCGTCCAAAAAATACGAACTGCCGTCCAAAAGTAAGGGACGGTCGTCCACAATTTGTGGACGGGCGTCCCCAAATTTTTTTTTTTCATGTTTGGGTGAAGGACGAGCGTCCATTAATTTTGGACGGGCATTATTTGTGGATGCCCGTCCAAAATTAATGGACGGCCATCCATAATGGATGGATGGCCGTCCCTAAGGTTTTACAAATTTTTTAATTGTATTTTAATCAGGGACGGGCGTCCTTTAAATGGGGACGCATATCCCTTGTCTATGGATACCCGTCCATATAATATGGACGGGTGTCCATGTGAGTGAACGACCGTCCAAATTTGATGGACGGCCGTCCCAAATATTTTACAAATTTTTTAATTGTATTTTAATCAGGGACGGGCGTCCTTTAAATGGGGACGCCCATCCCTTGCATATGGACGGGTGTCCATATGAGTGAACGGCCGTCCAAATTTGATGGACGACCGTTCACTAGAAAAAAATTGTAAAAAAATAGAGACGCGCGTTATACGTAGGCCGGTATAGAAATTTGGTGCTACTTTTTCGGTGTCCGTAGTGTTATTGGATTAATCTCTTCCCTTATCCACTGATTTCTTCTTCCTCCGCTAAAACGACGTCGTTTCAATCAGTTTTTTTTTTTTTTGGGCAATAATTCACGAATTATACGGATATTCCAATAATTTGCGAATAATTCGGTAGTCATTTAAAAAGTACGTAAATACGCATTTTATACACAAATTATACGACCAATCATATAATTCGCGAATAAAACGCGTATTTAGTAGCTAGGATGTAGTATGTGGGAGGGGCAAAAAAACATAAAAGTAAAGAACAGGACAAATAACACATGAAAGGCAGAAGATATTTTACTGGTTTAGTATAACTCACTTACATACACAGACGAGAGAGATTCACTATGATAACATGAATATATAATACAAATGTTTTATTACACTATCAACCTAGTACCTTTACTTAGACATGGTATTTTGCCGATACCCTGTGATACCCTTACATCAAAACCTCTTGTATCTTTATACTCTTTCTTTCTTTACTTTCCTTTCTTGTAACTTTGAATTGATTTTAACCCCTTTATTTATAGGTAAAGTAAGACATTTTTTTCTACTATGATTCAAATTCCTACTCCTAATAGAATTCTTCTAATTTAAATCATTCTCCTATTTTAAGTTAAATAAAATCTTAAACCAATTCTTCTTTACTAATACATCTCACAATATAAACGGAAACAATTATTTTCAATTACAAATTCTTAAACTAGAAATTTGCCTTAAAACTTAATTTTTTTTTTCTTCTGGATTGCCTTTTGCTTCTTGCTTGCCTTTTGTTCTTCGATTAAAAAAGAAAAATGTTTACATTGCAATAGAATTTGAATTAGTCAAGCATATGTGAAGTCTAACTATCAGACAAAAATTTGATGTATCAAAAAGTTGAAAAATGCCATTTGTTTTATAATCAATGAAGTATATTGAAATATTGAACTCAAATTTTTTATCTTTTTTGTGTCCACATATGCTATGTCGACCTTATCCACAATAGGAGTGTAAAATAAGAACTAAAGAGTAGTATCTTACATTCACCATGGGACCTCGTCAAGGAACCAGGAGTTGGTAGAACCAGGGGTAGATGTGGAGGTTTCGACGTCGGTGGAGGTGTCAATGTTGAAATGAAAGTTTCATTAACAAATGGATACAACTCAAACCGGACATTACAACTCGGAGTCAACACTCTTCCTCCTTTCTTTCCCCCACAACACGATGCTAACTGAGAATTAGCTTCTAGAAGACATAAAACAACCACGACAGGTCCTGTGTGAACTGTACCATACCATACAGTGTTTGATTAACGCTAGAGCTTTTCTTCTTTACTGCTACAAACTTATTAGGAGAATATGTTGCTTTATTCGCGGCTCCGCTCATCAAACTCGACACTAGATCATCAAAATTGTCAGGTTCCGTGACATTTCCGGCATCTGGCTTCCGATTCCAACTAGAAAAGAAAGGCTCAATATTCGAGTAACGTAGATGGCACTCGTCATACCAAATTACGGCTTCCTTTTTAATAGGGCAATATCTTGTTACATTTGTGGTTGCAGAAATTACGCAGTCTTGGCAAGCGGTGGAGTTGAGATCGTCACGGCCAAGAAAGAGACCGTACACCTTGTTGGGGTCTTGGCCTGTGGTGTTGGCATGGAAAACAAGGTTGGAGTAGGAGGGAAGAGAAGAGAAGAGAAGGTTGAGGTTGGAGTGGTAGGTGCTGTTTATGGTGAAATTCTTTGCGGGTGGGCTAGAAATAAGCGAGGATTGTTGGCGTGATAAATGCATTTGTGAAAGTGATTAACAGAAAGCTTTAGAGATAGAGGAGAACCACAAGGATCATGGTGTGAATGTATTTGCCTATCATAGCATGTTAGAGTAGTGTTGAAGAGGTATTCAAATAGTTGCCTATGCGCATAAGAGCCACCGTTTAATGCACGAGTCAATAAGAGTAGGTGAAGTCAATTTGGTGTTATCGTGGAAAAAGGTGTAGATTTCAATTAATTTGTCGAAAATTAGAACATATACAGCCAAGCTAACAAATATGAATTTTAAAATATGTAGAACTAAAATAGAATATGACTTTGAATAGTTACTTTAACGCTCACGCAAAAAATTGAGTTAAATAGATTTGATAATGTTTTATTCTCTTCACCCATTTGCTGATCTAGAGAGCGTCTTTTATACATTGATTGTACCACGTTATTTACATATCAAACCACAGTTAATATGACATATCTACGTATACTAGTCATATAGGATGTGTTTGGCACTTTGCACTGGATTGGAGTAAAATTTATTGAATTGGAGTGGAATAAATTTAATACTGTCACGTGTTTGGCGCCATATCATACTAAATATATAATTAATTATTTAAATAAAAAGACCATTATGTAAAAAATTAAATTATTTTAAAATTTTAAAATTTTAAAATAAATTATAATAAATCTTTTAATAACAATTTTGAAAATTAAGATGAAATTTACTTAAATTTAATAAGTATCATATAATAATAATAATAATTCTTTAATTTACTTTGTTCTTTTTTTTAAGTGAATCAAATAATGAGTTCTCAGTAAACCCTGCGGGTATATTTTTGTCAAAATAGTGCAGCCAAAGTGCCAAATCACCCAAAATTGGAGCTAAACATGTGAAAAAAACTAAATAAATACCGCAGCGGATGTGTTCATGCGCTTAATGCAGTCCTACAGCGAAACAAACACACCCATAAGGATTCTAATAACATGACATTCGTTATATTTGTAAGGTTACTGGTACATTTTACGAAAGGAAATGATATAAAACAGTAATACTACACTCACAAACTATTTTCACTAACTTTCTCTCACAAAAACGACATGTCAGCTCGTAACTAGTTAGCTTGTAATAGATTTCGTTGTCCAACAATAAATCCTGCCTATCTAAATGTGAGCTGTCACGTTCACGTTTGTGAAAGAAAGTTATGAGAAATGTTTGTCAATCTATTTTTATTCGATATAAAATTGTCTAGCGGGGTACCAAATTTGAAAGGGTTACCTCATTAATAGAGCATCCTTTACCATTTGATGGGGACTGATCTGATTTTGCAACAGTCCAAGCAAAAGAAAATGCAGGTTGGGTTGGTTTAGGAAGTTTTACTGCATCACTTACCAACATAACAACTACTGTTGACATGGTAGGTCTGTTTGTTGGATCTTCCTGAACGCATAATAATCCGATATGAATGAACTTTAATAATTCAACTGGAACACATGACTGCACCATTGTTGGGTCCATTAGCTCTAATGCTTTTCCTTCACACCATAGCTTCCATGCCTAAAACATTAGGTAAGTAATGAACATAGATTAAGAGTATATCACATATTGGATTTTATTCTTTAAAGTCACATATAGAGATGGTTACGTACATAAGCAATAAGGCTTTGGCTATCTTCTGAAAGATAAAATCCGGTATTTTTTCTCCCACTTATAATCTCCAATAGAAGAACTCCAAAACTAAAAACGTCTGACTTAACTGAAAATATTCCATTCATAGCATATTCTGGAGCCATATATCCACTATAAAACATTCAACCAAAAAAAAGGAAAATAAGTTCTAATAATCAGTATTTTTTCAGGTAATGAGGTTAAATCTATAAAAGCACAATTTTTTTTTTTTTCCAAAGACAAAAGAAACAAAACAAAATTGTAAGAAATGTGTACTCACTATGTTCCAACAACTCGGTTGGTACTAGCTTCAATTTGGTTTCCACAAAATATCCTTGCCATTCCGAAGTCTGATATCTTTGGTTTCATCTCATGGTCTAACAAAATATTACCAGTTTTGAGATCACGATGAATAATTTTGAGTCGAGAATCCTCGTGCAAATACAAAAGACCCCGTGCAATGCCATTAATGATGCTTACACGTGTCTTCCAGTGCAAATGAATACCCTTTGTTAAATCTGACAATAAAGTCATCAAAATTAGCTTGATTTCATCCTATTGCTTTCTAGCTATGGAAGAAAGTGAACAAGAATAAAATAAATGAAAAGAAGAAAAAAGCCTTGGTTGCTATTGCAAAGCGACTATTTATGTTCCACAAACTGTGTAGACGATCAAAGATAGGCATTCCAAAGTCTAATATCTTCACTAAATCATGATACACATTAACCGAGCTATTAAGATAATGCATATCCAAGCCTTAATTTTCATGTATACAGCTAACATTAACAGAGTTTGAGAGGCAAACCGAATAGGTGGAAATTAAGGCTCTTGTTGGGCATGTACTCATAGATGAGAAGCAATTCTTTTTCCTCTAAGCAACATCCCAAAAGTCTCACAAGATTGTTATGTTGTAATTTGGCAATTAAGACAACTTCGTTCTTGAACTCTTGTAGCCCTTGCCCAGATGTTGTTGAGAGCCTCTTTACTGCAATCTCCTTACCATCTGCTAACACACCCTGAACGGAAATCTCCATTGTTACCATAAAACAACCGGGGACATAAAAAAAGAGAAAAAACCCCCCCCAAAAAAAAAAATAAAATAAAATAAAAAGAGAAGAAAATTTTAGGATAACTTTAGGATATGCAGCATTATTGCTTTTCATATCATCCAATAATTTTTATTTACCTTGTACACAGGACCGAACCCACCTTCTCCCAGCTTGTTTTCATCAGAGAAATATCCTGTAGCCTCAAGGATTTGGCCTAAAGGGAAAATAGGGAAGTCTTTAGATTCCCCTTGATGCCTCTCTTGTAAAACATTATGCTCATCTCCTAAACGAAGTACTTTAAGAGCTCGTCTTTTTGCTTTCTCCTCTGCAAGACACATTGAATTCAACAATAATACTGTAACTATATATATGTTATATAACATTACATATAAAATTTATTACCTTTATATCTTCTCCAAGTAGGTAGCAGGAAAAAACCAGATAGCAAGAGTACTAGAATTGTTGGTATAATTGTCCCGATTGCGATCCATATTGCTTGCCTTCTTTTTCGAGCTTACAGGAGCAAATATTTTTGATTTATCAAGTCTTGTTGTAATATAAAATGGAATTACTCTTATTACATTCAACATGAGCTGTTAAAGCATCAAATATACTTTAAATCCTCTAATCCTAAACGTATCAGAACAATTAGATTAAAAAAAAAAAAAAAAAAAAAAAAATTAAGAATTATATGACATAATATTACTGAGTATACAAATTCATATATATAATAGAATTGTATATATATAGACACTGATTAATTTAGATTTGTTATAAATAAATAATTGGATATTTATATGGAAATTCAACGGGACATTTAGTTTTTTAATAATATAAGTATAATTCCATAAATTTTTACTTAAAAATTGAAAATTTTATTGTTTATTAAATTAATAATTTAAAGACTTTATCCAATATTATGTCGCCTAACAAACACAACCTAAATATATTGTATACGAAAAATAATTCAATTGTAATAATAAATATAAAAGTGGCTCACATCATAAAAAACAATTTTCATATAAAACTATTACTGGTATACTGGTTTGATGTTGTATTTTATGTTAGTGAGGGTATTTATTTATTTATTTTAAATAAAACTCGACCATAGGCTAAGGAAAAAAAATCGTTCTTAAAATAAATAAATAAATAAAATGCCATAATCCCATTTTTTCAGAGAGTACCTATTTGTGATGGCATATGTTTAAAAATAGGCGGTTTCGGTGGCATAGCTTGAACAACAGGCGGTTTCGGTGGTATCGGTTCCTCTTCCGTTGCTGGTGCTGGTGCTGGTGCTTTTGACGGTGAAAGTGTAGGTGGAGTCGGTGCCTGTTTGTATGGTACTGTCCGTGTTGCATTCGGAGTCGGTGCCTGTTCGTATGGTACTGTCCGTGTTGCATTCGCAGTCGGTCCCGGTTTGTATGTTACGACTGTCCCTGGTGTATTCAGAGTCGGTCCCGGTCCTGCATCAGTTGATTGGTTTACTTGTTCCAGTAACCGTGCCGATGCCCGTACCGGTGCCGGCTCCAATGTTGAAAAGAAGCTTTCTTTAAAAAATAAGTAGAACTCAAACCGAGCACTACAACTCGGAGTAAAAACTCTTCCTCCTTTCTTTCCCCGGCAACACTCTGAAAACTCTGCATTAACTTCTTCAAGACATCTAGAACAATCTCCACTGGACAGGTCCTGCGTGCACTGTACTAGACCATACAATGTTTGATTAATTCTCAAGTTCCCCCTCTTTACACCCGCAAATTTATTCGGAGAATAAGCAGCTTTCCTCGCCGCTTCGCTCATCAAACGCAACACTACCGCTACCAAATCATCAGCCTTTTCTGGTTCCGTAACATTTTCGGGGCTTGGCATCGAAATACTGGAATCTTCAGCCACGAGGGAAAAGAAAGGTTGGTTTGAGTAACGTAAATGGCACTCATCATACCATATTACAGCTTCTTTTTTAATAGGGCAGTGTTTGGTTACATCTCTGATGGCAGAAATTACACAGTCGTGGCAAGCAGTGGAGTTGAGATCGCCGCGGCAAAGAAAGAGACCGTAAACCTTGTCGGGGTCTTCGCCTGAGGTGGTTTCATGGAAAACAACGTTGGAGGGAAGAGAAGAGAAGAGAAGGTTGAGGTTGGAGTGGTAGGTGCTGTTTACGGTGAAATTCTTTGTGGGTGGGCAAGAATAATCGAGGAATGTTGGGGGGATAAATGTATTTGCGAAAGTGATTATCAGAAAGCTTGAAAGATAGAAGAGAACCACAAGGGTCATGGTGTGAATGTATTTGTCTCTCAAGTAGTGTTGAAGTCTTGAAAATGTATTCAAATATTTGCCTATATATGCATAGGAACCACCGTTCAATGCACGAGTCAATAAGACTAGGTGAAGTCAATCTAGGCTGCGTTTGTTTAATTATGTCAACAAAATGATTTGGTATGACACTTATGTAAGTTTGTCTCCTATCAAGTCCATAGGATATGGGAATATTTGTCATTTCTTTAACGACGGAATAATATTTTGACATCCATTCTGTCGTGAGAGTACGACTTTCCCCTAAAGTTTCGGGTTGAATTGAAGTGTTAAAATATAATAGTATAAGGACAATTTTGTCAATTCACTTCACATATATAACTGCTATGGGGACTAAAAAACCTCATATAATATTATGAATTGATCATAAAATTGACAGTTCATGATTATTAGGTGTTTCTAAAACTAAATGGGGGAATATTGATGTTTGATGTTTCCTAAAACAAAGGTGTAAAAATTTTCTTTTGGGGGTTGCCAATGTCATTCAGCCTATCAAGTAAATGACTAAATTTTGCAAATATTGAGACAACTTTATTTTTTTTAATTATCATTTTTGTATCCACGTATTATGTGACTGGAATCCTTGGCCTCTTCAAAGTCAAGATGACAAAATCAACCAAACCTTCCCTGAAAGATATATTTGTAGCCAACATGTAAAATTAATTAGAAAAAAATGATATGTGATTTTTGATTTAGAGAAATGTGAATACGGTGCAATGAGTGACTATTCAAAAATGAAAAAAAAAAAATTTATTTATACCAATCATTTTATTATCAGTAAACAAATCATAGCATTTCATTTTTATAATTAATTATCACTAAAACAATAAAATACACATTTATTACATGATATTGAAAGTGTGGGGCTACTTAGCAGGAAAAGTACTTACCGATCAATGATTATGCTCACCACTTAAAATCATCCCCTCCCCCCCCCCCACCCCCCCCCCCCCCCCAAAAAAAAAAAAAAAAAAGATTATGTCCACCGACACTATCTAATATTTGTTTGGAAAGGAGAAAATGTGGTCTTAAGGTGTCATCTCTATAAAAGATAAAATATTTTCCCTCTTATATACTGATATACGAGAATTAGAAAAACCACAATTTTTAATATATTGGAATGTTAAATATTTTATCTTTTAGTATCTTAACGTGTGTTATCAAGGGATGAGTTAAATTTCTCTTATAGTATAAACGATTGATTCGTAAAAAAAGATAAAAAAAATGCGTCAGAAGAGGTAATAAATTAATAAATAATTTACATCCTAAAACATATCTCAAAATTTATGTCCTAAATTATGTGTCATCTTATTTGATAATATTATATTATTTATCAATAAATTACTTCTTTTAAATCTCAGCACTACGTGAGATTACACATTACTTCATATAAGAATTTTGAAATAATTTGTTAAATGAATAGTATTATTATTAATTAATAGGTACGAGAATATGAACATGAAAAATTAGATAATGTTGTTATTTAATTAATACTAACTAAGAGTCTAAGACAAGAAACTTTAAAGATATTGAAGTGATAATACTAGACGACAAAGTTTATCTTCTTTTCATGTCCTTTTTTATTTCTAAAGAGAAAAAAAAATTATTTTCATATGAAATGGGATCACTTTTTCAGTATCTAAAGTGTAGTCTAAACAAAGATTATCTCAAAAGAAGAAAATTTATAAAGAAAGACTTCAAAGTCAATAGCTATTGATAAGTTTTCAAATGTCTCTAAAGTGGAGCCATTAGCCAGAGTATGGGGCTATAAGCATGAATCACATGAACTTATTTCCATATTTTATGGATAAGTGGAGCCATCAACCTTATTTCTTTCACATAAAAAAGCACCAAAAGATAATATTTAATTTCTACATGAATGATGCTATACATTTATTACATCATAATAACTTCTAACTTATAATTGTATTTGATAAATATATATTTGTAATGTCTTTCATTTTGATTCAGTACTTATCTTATTTATTATTAAGATTATTCATTAATACAACATTTAAATTGTATTATTCAAAGTTTTATATTCAATAATTAATATATGCTAAATGTTCTTAAATTAATACTTCTTAATGTATTAACAATAAATTTATACAATACACATATGTTATTATTTAGATTCTTTTAATTTACAAAGAAGAATTTATAATTTTATTTATATTGGTAAATTCTTGCATATTATTTATAGAAAAAAATTTATCCTTGTGATTGTAATTATCTTTAAATTTGAAATAATACTTCAATGTGATAGTTGTTCTTGTTTTATTACTGTTGATATGAAAATCGCACAAATTTAAGAGAACTAATTGACCTTGGTGGAATCGAAACTGATGTGTGCGTAATTTAAGGTAAACCAGTAATTGAATGTAAAGATGCAATAATGTAAAGAATACAAAATGATTTTTAAAGTGGTTCGACAAGTTAAAACTTGAGCTTACGTTTATTGTTATCTTGTTGCTTTTGAGAGTTTATAATAACAATATAATATGCCTAAACAAATTTGCTAACCACTCTCTTATTGTTTGAGGGGGGTTTCTATACAAGTTGTGATTAAATGGAAAGAGAAATAAGTTCGGGATTGCAATCAGAGTTGATTTGCAATCCTGTGATCTTCGCAATTGAGCAGTGATATTGCACTGCTAGTAGTGTTGATCGATCTTATCCCTTTCGAAATATTCGAGATTGAGGCTTATCTTTGATTTTGTTGAACAGCTGTTTGGATTGGTCGCTGTGACGAGATTCACCTTGATTGAGCTTACTTTGAATTGAACTGATTCTGGGTTGAACTATCTCTCCACGAGCTTCCGAGATTTGTGAGCTCTTATGGCAAAATCATACACAACATCTGCCCTCCAATGTTCAGAGGTCGTGTCAAACTTCTAAGACTGAAGTGCTTGATTTGCCACTTAGATCGAACTCCTTCATTCTGGTGTAACTCGCACATAGGTCGCTGAGATTATCTAAGCTTTTTTTTTTTGGGCCAAAAAACAAAAAAAACAAAAAAATGATTATGCTCACTGACACCATCTAATGTTTGTTTGGAAAAGAGAATTGGAAAAGAGAAAATGTGGTTTTAAAGTGTTATCTCTATAGAAGACATAATATTTTCCCTCTTATACACTGATATACATGAATCAGCAAAACCACAATTTTTAATATATTGGAATGTTAAATATTTTATCTTTTAGTATCTTAACGTGTGTTATCAAGGGATGTGTTAAATTCCTCTTATAGTATAAATGATTGATTGGTAAAAAAGATAGAAAAAATTGCATTTATTAAATAATTTACATCTTAAAAGATATCTAAAAATTTACGTCCTAAATTATGTGTCATCTTATTTAGTAATATCATATCATTCATCAATAAATCACTTCTTTTGAATCTCAACACCACGTGAGATTACAAATTACTTCGTATAAGAATTTTGAAATAATTTGTTAAATGAATAGTATTATTATTAATTAATAGATGCGAGAATACTGTTGTTATTTAGTTAATACTAACTAAAGAGTCTAAGACAAGAAACTTTAAAGAAGTGATAATACTAGACGACAAAGCTTATGTTCTTTTGATGTCCTTTTTTATTTCTAAAGAGAAAAAAAATTATTTTCATATGAAATGGGATCACTTTTTCAGTATCTAAAGTGTGAAGTCTAAACAAAGATTTAAAGCTGGTCAAGGACCGGTCCCAAGCAGACCCGTCTTGGACCTGAGATCGGTCCTAGGCCCATAAGCAATTTTAGGATTAGAACCGATCCTTAGAACTGGTTCTATGGATCTGAAATTTTTTTTTCCCCTGATCTTTTTCTATATTTTAGAGGTGAAATGAAATTTTGTAAGAGGTTTTTAGTATTTTTCAAGGGTAGATTAATAAGTTTCTAAAAATTTAATTAATTTTAAAAAATAATAAAATAATAAATAAGCATAAATGTAATATTCACATTTCACACATTTATGCTTCACAAATAACTAATTAAATAAATTTTTTTCTTAAGTTATTCATCTTCATCGCCAACAATATTTACATAATTCATATGTGTATTCCTAAAGAGTTCGAGTAGTTCAGGATCTTCAAGGTGATGTTGTAGTCTTCTTTCTGTCTGTGTCCAATCCCGTAAATACATTATCACTCAATCATCTCATCGGTTAAAGAACATCTTCTGTCTTCAACAATCTAACTACTCGTTGAAAATGTTGACTCGGATGCAATTGTAGAAACCAGCATAGATAAAATGTCACGTGCTAGATAGGCTACAATGGGGAATCAACTTTCATGTTGGTTCCACCATTGAAGAATATCCATGTCACGTTTCTCCTTCCTTGTCATAAAGGACAGGTCCACTTGTAGGTAGCAATTCAGCTCATTTGGTCTATGTATGTACGAGCTGGAGCTGCTACTTCTGCCATGTTCCATATACGTCCACTTGCTCGATCCTTGACGAAGGTCTGCATCAAGGTCCTGATCATCTCTCCTGAACATTCCATTTCCACTTCCATTGTACCTGTTCTCATATAAAGAAAAAAAGCTACCCAATTTTTGTTTAAAGTCAGTCAAATAAGACGTATAATCATGTCCTAAATGCTGGCTTAACTTAGTAATTATATAGTTAACTACGTGTAATTTAAACCTAGGATCTACAACAAGGACTAATCCATATAAGAATGGAATATCTAACCAATATTTCTCATATTTTTCTTCCATCTTTAAAACAATTTCCTTTAAAACGTTATTATATCTATATTTAGCAAAAGTTTTAGCAATTTGAAGTAAAATATCTAACACTAAATTAGTAGCCGGATAATAAATACCACTTAATTTATTAGTAGAATCATAAATTTTTTTAAGAAATGAATAAAGAAGTTCACAAACCGCCTAATCATTATAGCTGACAACTTCCTCTAGATAGTGCTTTCGGTTGACGAAATCTATAATTTGTTTTGCAGTTAGCAAAACTTTTTCCAACATCAAGTAGGCGGAGTTCCAATGGATAGGCATGTCCGTATATAACTTTAAAGGTTGAACCGATGGGTCCTTTTGCTTATAATATTTGATGTACTCTTGCCATCTTTTATTGCTATCGCCG